ACATTTCCCAGAATGTTGAGAAGACTCGACTGCAGCGTGCAGATATACCAGGAATCAGATAGAAACAGCTTTTCTTTGTATTACATTTATTTACTTATTATTTAATGTGTGGAGGTCAGGGGTCAACTTTCAGGAGTAGGTTTTCTCCTTCCATCATGTGACTCTCAGGGACTGAACTTAGACTGTCAGGCTCAGTTGCTGGTGCTGAACCATGAACTATGTACCAGCTGAACCATGCCAAAAACCCTGTCTTGCTCCACCTTCAAGGTGCTTTCCAAGGGCCTGATGGAATCCATATTGCCCTGGGACCTTGTCTGTATGACCAAGAGCATATAGCAGAAGTAATAAGATGAGCAATAATGTATCACCCTGATTAGGGCATGAAGACGCAGTGGGTCTATTTTGGTTGCTCTTTCTTTCTTTTGGAAGAACTCAAGTGACCTGTGGAGAAGCCCATATAGGGAGGAACTGAGGCCCTCTGACCAACAGCCATGTGAGAGTCCTGAGTCAGTAAGAATCCAATAATGGCACCCTAGTCAATATCATGAGCTACCCTGACTCAGATCTATCCTGCTAAGCCACTCCTAGGTTCCTAGTGAGATAGTGTTTAGTTCTGTTTAGCTTGCTAAATCTGGAGCTAATTTGTTATGGAACAATAGATAACCAACACAGCGAGGGAGGAAGGGAGAGGCAGGAAAAGGATTAGGAAAAAATTGAAGACTTCCAAGAGACTTCCGAGAGAATTTCTCCCATGGGAGAATTCAACAGGCAAAGAGGAAGACTGCAGATGCATTGTGGGAAAATGGGCGTGCATGACAGCGGGAGGGTCCTAAGAATGAGGGTAGAGGTAAGGTCCCGAGGCTGGGATGGGGCACTTGTTCAAGGTCTCAAGTTCTCCTTTGTTTGGTAGTGCCTCTGAGTTGAGATCCCATGGAAGAATCTGTCTTGGCAAGCTTAATCAAAGAAACAAATGACACAAATACCAATGGGATCCTGCAGGGAGGAGAGATGGAATTAGAAGCAGTATGAGAATTAATATGGCTAACAAAAAACATTGTAGGAATATGATACAAAACTGTAAGCTTAAACACTGGAAAGCTCGGTTGTTTGTTACCCAACATTTGGGAGGCAAAGGTCATCCTTCTGTGGTATGTTCCAGACCAGTCTGGGCTAATATGAGACTCTGACTCAAACAAGTAAAATTGAGACTCAAAATAAGGGTTTCTTTCTAAGATCTTTTTTTCCTCTCTGGTGGTCAAGCTTAGAAATGCTTTATAGACAGAAAACTAAGAATAATAGTGGAAACGGGCACTGGGTGGGATGTCTGTGTTTCGTGAATTATTCCATTCAAACTCTAAAGTTGTGTTGTACAGTTCAATAGTCAACAATAGAATGATCAAGTGTGGCTATTTAAACCTAAATTGATTAAGTAAGACTCAAAACTCAGAGCTTTAACTGATTTCAAATACCCAGAAGTTGCACGGGACAAGTAGTTGCCACATTGGACAGCTCAGAATAGAATGTCTCTACCACTCCAGAAACGTGCAAGGACCAGTGATGTGGGAATAGGAGAGATCATTCCTGTCCTAGATCACATGTTTCCCAGTACATAACAAAAGATGAGAATGCACCAGTTTGCTCTATTAAACTATGATTGCTTTGGTGCCAGAATGCAGGGTTATGGTAGGTTTCCGTGTCAACTTGCCTCAATTCACACGAATTGGGGACCTAAACAGAAGATGTGTCTTGAATACTTTGATTGGTGGTGGGAAGGTCCACCCTGATTTGGGGGACCACACTATTGAGGCCTCAAGGGCCAAGGAACTTCTGGGTTCTCAGTTTCTTAGGTGTGAATTAGCTGTTGTTACTAGTTTAAAGCTGACTAATAGCCCATCATCTCCCACGGGCTCCGTTCCTCTAGAGAATGATGAGTAATACACACCATGGCATCATGATAAGTCTAAGTCAGATTCACTTAGGAATGTATGCAGACATTCTGAAGCAACTTCCAGCACTGCAAATTCAGATGCTCATTTGGGAATGACCCAACGCCCAATCCAAGGACACTTTAACTATAGGATGCCAAATAGTAAAATGTATCACATCAGCAGAGTAGAGAAACATGGCTGTCTTCATGTATATATAAGTATTTGATAAAATTAGAGGCCAAAGTAAATCATTTGGTTTGCTAAATGATAGACTTATCAGCATGAGGCTCCCAATAGCTAAGTCATATTTTATGATGACTATTGCATGTCTCCCAACTGAAATGAGGGATAGACAAGCCTAACGCCTAAAGTCATTCCTATAATTTAATGTCACTCTGGAATTTCCAGCATCAGAAATCAAGAAATACAAAGGAAAGGAACAGAGTGTATTAAGATTGTAGACATAAGGGTGGTGCAATGGTGGCACCTGCTTGGAACCCAAACACTCAGGAGTCAGAAGCAGGTCAAGAACCTCAAGTTGGCGCTAGCCTTGGCAACACTGCACTAATGCATCTCATTTCTCTGCTTTCTGTTAGTGGCTCTTTAGTTTGTTGTATTGAGGGCACGCTGCTGAGAATAATTAGACTGGAGTACCAGAGTCCAGGTTTTGATGTCAACAGCCCTGGTAATAGGGAACAGCAATATCAAAAGAATCCATTTTCTCCTAGATTTGCCTAGCTCCCAGTTCACGCTGCCTTCAAGTTGTATGAGCTGAGAAGGATGAAGAGAAAGGCCCCTGGAGACCTACGTGGGACAAACTGCCTGCTCTTTATGTCAACGCACATGATTTCTGCAGTAGGACAGCAAAGCATCCCACAGTGTGCTGACTGCTTGACACCCAGCTTTGGCGGTGACCATTGATAACCTTTATCTTCACCCTGGGAATGAAGTTCCTAGAAAGGAGCCACACCGTCAATTGAAACCTTCTCAAGACTAATTGACTTATTAGCTCTGCAGTGATTGTGGAGAGCTTGGGATGTTCCTAGTCCAGAGTCAAAAAGATCTCAGGCTGTCTTTAACTCCATTCAAAGCCATCTTTTGCCCTCCCAAGATCCTTTGTGGCATTATGTAGCTGGCTTGGAACGCACAATCAGGGCACTAGTTTTTCTTTGGAATGTATATCAGCTTGGCAAACCACTAGCTTCCACCACCCCCAAAGCAGAGTGCCATTAGAGAGCACCCGAGGCCTGTAACATGGGGTCTTCACTTTTCTGCAGTCCACTTTTCTGATGTGTCCACCAATATATTAGAAGAGTCTTGATTTAAGACTTTCCTTGTTCTGGAACCATAACCATCTTTTAAAAACTGCTTCTGTATCGGAACGTGGAATTTGGAGTGTTATAAATCTGTGTTCCCAGGCCATGATTACTCATATTTGGCTCCATAATAAATCATTTGTCTTCTTTGATGTGAGAATGTTATTGAACTTGGGGGACAAAGAAATCCCATGAACTTCTCACCCCCAAACCCATCTTACAAGTCCATCTTCCCAGTGTGGCCACATTGACTACCTCTCCCTTTTCTGCTTTCTACCTTTGATTTGGCTTTTTAAAATTGGCTTACTAAGGACATGCAGCCGTACCTGGCTTAGAGCACATGGTGTGACCCCAAGTGCAAAGGAAAGTTGTGTTTCATCAGAGAAGTCACCTGGGTGGAAGAGAGATACCCGAAGGGACCCACTGAGCACAAGCCACCTGCTATTAATTCTTCAGGAGAATTTTGGTGAATTATTTCTGAAACTCTCTTGAACCTCTCTGGATTTGGTCAATGGTCCATTTATTCCGAACTGAGGCCTTAGGATCTTATTTGTTGAAAGAATGTAATGTTAGAATCCAGGTTCACAGATGCTTTGTGGTGGTTTGAATGCCATGTCCCCCCTCACAGTCTAGGGCTCTCAAATGTCTGATCCCCAGTTGGTGGTTCTGTTTAGGAAGCTCAGGAGGTATAGCATTGTTGAAGGAATTATGTCATTGGAGGTGTGGGCTCTGAGAGCTGAAAGACTGGGCCACTTGGGATTTGCTCTCTCTGCTCAGTGTGTGTGTGTGTGTGTGTGTGTGTGTGCGTGTGTGTGTGTGTGTGTGAGTGTGTGTGTGTGTGTTTCAGGATGTGAGTGCTCAGCTTTCTGCTCCTGCTACCATGCCTGCCACTCCTTCCCATGTCTCCGCTCTGCCATCATGGACTCTTGTCTCTCTGGAACCATAATCTCAAACTTGATCGTGGGGTTCCAACACAGTAACAGACATGTAACTAATATACCTCCTTTGGCAGACACTGCCAGGCACCCTAATGAGACACTGGCTGTGAACCCCGAGGAACCTTGGGAGTACCACATCTTGCTCCTCACCCTCTTCCTTTGCCTGGGGAGCAGTGAGCCTAGCTGTGAGGTCTTGGTATGAACCCTCCATCCTCAAAAGGTCTAAAAAGAGATCTCTAATGTGGTCTCTGATTCTCCTTAGAGATCCCACCGTGATGCCTGTCTCTGGTGCTGGGACTTGAATTCTTGGAGTCTGGGACATGCTGTTGCCTCCTTGCGTGTGTATTCATGTTGTTAATAACTCCTTTAATAAACTTCTTATTCTCAAGTAATCCATTTGGATATCCTCTCTAACCCCCCTCCCCCCATCCAAACATAACTTTTGATTGGATCATTTGTTTTCTTGCCTCCCCAGGGTTTGCTTCCAAGTATCTATTTTGATTGCTTTTGATACATTTTCATTTCTGTTGATTTGTTTCTGGTTTTGTTTGCTTTTAGACCCTTGTAGATGTCTTAGTTTCCGTTTTGGCCTTGAGAGGAGATGCATCTTGAAGCATGGTTGATGAATTTTCCTGTCTGCTCAAGGCTTCCCTACCCTCCTGGTTTTCCCTACCTGCTGGAAGGCAGCTCTGTCCCACTGATTTGCACGTTTTGTTTTTCCTGGTTCCTTTACATGTGTTTTTTGTTTGTATGTTTTGTTTTCTTATTCTTTCTTAATGTTAAGTACCACTGGCACCAAAACCCAAACTGCTGTAGACTTAGCCATCCTGTTTCTGGGTCAGACGGCAAGACATGACTTTTCTGGGGACATTGTCAGCAATGATCCCTTTAATGTCCCATACTAGTCTCTTGCCTCCAAGAGAGTCCTGAGACACAGTAGACAATGCCTTCCTTCCTCAGAGAGGACATGGTGGACACGGGGACAACTGCTTCTGTACTTTTTCTTCCTCTGAAGTCTTAAAAGCTCTTTGCTTCCTTCTTTCCTGTCTCCTTGTCCTTTGGGACCCTGAGATTTGAATGACAGAACCCTGTTGCCTTCCTCCCTCATGATGGGATTTCTTGGGTCTAAACAGATGAGTTTAACCCTATATTCTTGCTCTGTGCAAGGTTAAGAACCAGCTGTTAAATATTACTTTGTCTTTACCCTTTGCACTGGACAGAGCACTCCTGGCCCCAAAGTCTCTGGGAATGTCCAGGGGAAAGGAGCCCTGAGTCAGCTGGTAATGACCAAATTCCGGGTAAACAGCTGTGGGGGATGGGCCAGCCTTGCCAGATCTAGGGCTGAAACTACCCAGACTAACATTGGACCAGCACAGGATGCCTGAGCTAAGACTCTCTACCTGTTTTACTTCTTTCTTCTCCTTGTAGACACACAGCAAGCATGTGAAATATAACTTAGTAGCAATAAGTTAAAAGAATAAAAGTTTTGACTTAAAATACCATTAAAACACCATTTTCATTGGGAAAGACATCTTTCTGCCAACTCTCTTCTTCTTCTTCTTTTTGGAGTTTTTTTTTTTTTCTTCTCAAGACAGGGTTTCTCTGTGTAGCCCTGGTTGTCCTGGAACTTGCTCTGTAGTCTAGGCTGGCCTGGAACTGAGAGAACCACCCGTCTCAGAGATGAAAGTTGTGCGTCACTATACCTGTTGTTAACTATTTCTTAACAATAGAAAAACATACTTCCTTAAGTCTACATGACAAACCACTCTTGGATTCTTTGTGTTGTCTTCTTCACATCTTAAAGAGATAGTGACATAAATGCAACTCCATCGTGTCTATGAAAATTGTTTGCTTATGTTGTTTGTATAAAAAATGCAGCCACTTTGATTTTGTCCAATCATTTTTGTTGGGTGCTAAAATTATTTTTATACTTAATTAAAATATACATGTGCATATTTATTGATGTGAATATTTTGGTGATGTATTAAAAGCCTGATAAATGCATACTGCCTTATAAACCTAAGTACCCAGAACTTCTTAAATCCTAGTAAAGTATTAGCCAGGCAGTGGTAGTGCATGCCCTTAATTCCAGCACTCAGGAGACAGAGGCAGAAGGATTTCTGTGAGTCAGAGGCCACAGAGGCCACTCTACAGAGTGAGTTCCAAAACAGTCAGAGCTACACAGAGAAACCCTATCTTGAAAAATAAAACAAAATAGTAAAATGTTATATTGGTTCTATTAAGTGTTTCTTAAAACCTTAAAATCTTAATTATATATACCATACAACAACATTCATTAGAGTTGTAAGATAAAGATTTCATTTAAGCTTCAATTTAATGCTATATTCATAGATTTTGATAAGGATTTCCTCCCAGAACAGGCTCTAAATTTAAAAAAATTAATTCAAATTGTATTTCATTTGTATAATTGTCATAGGTAATGTAAAAATCATAAGTTTTCTTTTTCAAAATATGTTAATATAAAAATGTAAAGTTTTTATTAAGGCTGGGCTACATGTAAAATAATGGATACATGTGTTTGCTAAAGAACTTCATGCTGTTTCTTTTCACAGTGAGGATTATAGGAAATAGAATCTTAACAACAACATTAAAAATGCTGGTTAAAAAAACCTACTTTTTTGTATGATTATGTGTGGACACACTGTCTATAAGTGCTTATGTGCTTATGTGTAAAGTCTCATTTACTTATTACAAAACTGACTTGTAAGTGCTCATGTAAGCTACAGCTTCCTTTTGGCTCAAAGTAAACCTAAAATTTTAAGAGAAAAAGTCTTAGTTCCAGCTGCCCCATCTTGCTAAGCATGGCTTCCTGTCCCATTGCCAGTTAAAGCGACTGAACAATGGCAAAGGAGCGTGGCTGATGGTCCTAGACCTTTCTTTGCAGGAAGTAATGTGTTTTTGAAATTTTAATTTAAGGGGTATTTTGGAAAGACAGTGTATACATAATTGCACAGGTCTGATCAAGGCGTTACCTTCTTGATCCTTGTCTTGATTCTGGGTCTACAGCATGGCTCCCAAGGCTTGAGGGGAGAATTAATTTGAAGAGATGATTGCTTCTGCTCCAGGTGCAGTTTTCCCTATTGGATAATTGCCCTCCTCTGAGAGGCTCAGCTCTTCATCCTGAGGATTAGGAGGACCATCAGTCTCTGTGCTTTTAGATATGTTTTGTATATAAAAGTGTATGTGTATATAATTATAAGCAATTTAAGGATTTTTTTTTTAAACAACTACTGCCTCTACTGTCAGTTCTTTCCCGTCTTATGGGTCCTGGAGCTTGAACTCAGAATGTCATTAGACTTGGTGGCAATGTCTTTACACACTGAGCCATCTCATCAATGCTGTATTAAACAGGGTTCTCCAGCTTCACTGAACTTATGGAATGAATCCTATATCTATATCTATATCTATATCTATATCTATATCTATATCTATATCTATATCTATATCTAGATATAAAGGTGATTTATTCGAATGACTTACAGGCTGTAGTCCAGCTAATCCAACAACGACTAGCCGTGAATGCCAAGTTCAAGCATCTAGTAGCTGTTTAATCCCACAAGTCTGGGCGTTCCAGCTGGTCTTCTGCATATGCTGGAAACCTGAAAAAGTAGATTCCTGTGCCAGTGAAGGAATGAATGCGTTGTCAAGGCAAGAGCAAGCAGACAGGGGCGGGGTGGGGCAGAAGGAGAGACCGAGCTTCTTTTTTCTATGTCCTTATATAGACTTCCAGTAGAAGGTATGGCCCATATTAAAGCTTTGCCTTCCCAACTTAAGATCTGGATTAAAGGCATGCATTTTCCTGCCTCAAGATCTGAATTAAAGGCCTATATCTTCTAGCCTTCAAATCAAAGACAGATCAAAGATGTGTCTTCCTACCTCAAAAGTCTGGACTGAAAGTGGATTTACCCACTTCAAATCAAACAGAAAATCTCTCACAGGTGTGCCCTCCATTTCTGGATTTTAATCCATCCCAGATATAGTCAAATTGACAACCAAGAATTGTCATTACAAGTCCCAAGTACTGACATTTATTAAGTTAATATTTAATGGGTTCTATAGTACAGTTAGCTGCGGTTAAAGAATTAAGTAAGCCATATTGTGTTATCTACTAAGAATGAAAAGGACAATACTACAGTGACTCCTAGAATCCATTTTCATTCATAATCATTAGAGTAAGAAGTAAGATTTGACTAGGCTTATAGCCCCATAAATTCTCATCTCTAGTAGGTCTAACCCTGTTTTAATCACTGTTATTAAAATTTGGTATATAAAAGGACAATCTTACTAAAAGAAAGTTTAAAAAATACTATATTGTTATCTAATATATTTTCTATAATCTGGATTTTCATTTATCTCTTTAGGGAAAGGAGGAATCCCCGAGTGAATGAGATCCCGAGAGAACAGCTACTTTGGCATGAGCATTGCCTGTTGAGGACTCCAAGACAGATTGGCTCATGGCAAAGCCCTTACACATACGGGCCAGGCTCAAGAAGTGTCTGTGCATATGAATGACTGATCAGTGTGTGCAAAGACCAGCAACTATGGTTTCCTCTTCCAATTTGTTTACAGCCTGAGACTGCTCATCTACAGAGACATCCTACCACAACTAGCCACCCCTTCCCCTGTGCTGTCCACAATAAACATGCCAATGGTCGGGCTATGGCAGTTGGAGAGCCCCATCTGACCTTAGCTTCTTTGCCTGTGTCCGTCCTTTCTTCATTCCCTTGCCATCCCTGGCTAGGGTTATGGGACCCAAGCCTCGGGCATTGTGGCTCTTTTCCAAACTAAAATCTGGTATAATACCAATATAATACAACTGACCAAGTCAGCATCCATAGATAAGAGATAAGCCAATTTAGATATTGAAGGTCAATTGTTCCTAGAATTAAAGTCAGCTATTCCACAGAGGTTATGGCAATGTAATCAAACCACCACCACCAACAACAAACCCCACTGAAATGAAAAGATAATAGATTTATTTAAATATACCACATGTGAAAGATCATCCATAGAGTACAAATCACTGCAGAAATAGGGGGAAATGTACAATCAATCCAAGTTTCTTTAAAAATGTGTAAATTTTATTTGCTTAAAATGCCTTTTTCCTTTGTATGTTGCCTTTACTCTATGAAGCCAGTGTTCTTGATTATTTTGATTTTTATATATTAGTTTTAATATATTTGTTACATGTTATGTCACAGACAGAGAACTAAAGCGTCAGATCGTGATCACATGTCTAGTAGAGTTTAGTGCTATGACCCAGGAGTGTTTGCCTCCAGGACTTGACTAACTGTCCCTCTCTCCTAAAGACTGCCGGCTGACCACCGTTTGGCCTTATCTTCTGCACATCCTAGAATGAGCCTTCCTAGAACAATAGACCGTATACTAATGTGTGACTCCCACATGCACAGAATGCCACTTTTTGCCAACAAGAGAAACATGGCACAGGTCTCAGAGAGAAGCTGATTGTTTTGCAAGACTGGCTAAGTTTGAGTGCTGTAGAAACATTGGAATGTTTCAGGCCCATACTCAATTATAATTTATCTTGGGCCAGCTTAGCCCCTAAATTCTTCACCCCCTCTAAATTGGACCCAACAGCATGTGGCTATCAGATGAAAACCTTTTGGAGTATATTAGCAAGACCACAGTTTCTACAAACCTAAAGGCTGGGAGTGTCTTCCGAGGCCACAGCTGAGACATTCCTCGATGCTATAATGACTCACTTAATGTTTCCACTGATGTATTTGAAAATGCCTTGATGTATGACTTTCTTTGTTCTGGTACTATAAAAGTCATAATTCTGCTTCTACACTGGAACATGGAATTGGGGCTTACCTAAATCTGTGTTCCATTTGACTCCAAGTAAACCCTCGTGTGGGATATTTTAAGATGTGTTACATTTGCTTACGCTGTGGAACATTTGTTTTAATGCAGCAAAGATGTGCTGCATTCTTTTACATTGCATTTGTTTAACTCTGTGAAGCTGTTTGTTACTTTGCCTGTCTAAAATACCTGATTGGTCTAATAAACATCTGAAAGGCCAATAGCTGGGCAGAGAAAAGATAGGTGGGGCTGGCAGACAGAGAGAATAAATGGAAGGAGAAATCTGGGAGGAGAGGATCAAGGAAGGAGAAAAGGAGGAGAGGAGAACTCCAAGGACCAGCTACACAGCCAGCCACAGAGTAAGAAGTAAAGAAAGGTAAATAGAATAGAGAAAGATAAAAGACAAAAGACAGATGGGATAATTTTAGTTAGGAAAAGTTGTCTAGAAACAAGCCCAGCTAAGGCCAGGTGTTTACAAGTAAGAAAAAAAATCCTCTGTGTATTTATTTAGGAGCTGGGTGGCGGGCCCCAAAAGAGTTAAAGAGCCAAAGACAGTCAACTACACCCTCTCTCTGCCCTTTGAGATGAGAGCTATGCTGGTACATCACCAACACAAACCTGGAACTACTGGAAGACGGGTCAGAAGTCTTCCTTCCCTGTCTGTGTTCTGGAAAACAAAGGGCAATCACCTCAAGGCCCCTTTCTTACCTGTGTGATGCAGTGAAGATCCATGGACATCCCCTCGCTTTCCTAAACTAGGCCAGAAAGTTCCTGCAGATTCTTATCCTTTGCTTCTCACCAGTGTTCTCCGCGAGAACACAACCCTAGTTTGCCAAAGCGTCTTCTGAACTCTGACCTGCACCCAGCCTAAGCCAGCATGTGAGAGTCCTCGCTGCCCCTTCCAAAGACAGGCTGTGGCCTTTTTAACTGTGCCACCTTGTTCATTCTCCTTTTTAGCTTTGCTTACTTCTCCCTATTAAAAAACAAAAATAAAAAAGCAAAGTCCTTCCCTAAACTCTTGAGACGCTTTCCCCCTAAGTTGCCCAGAGGCCTTGAACTTAGGCCCTCCTCTCTCTGTAGCTGCTGCAATCACAGGGCTGTACCACACTCTGTTGACTTTCAGCACTTATGGCAAGAGAACATGGAATACAGCTACTACACCTTTGCAACAATCCTTTGACTCCAGTGTCTTCTAACTGATCCAGATTTATTCTGTCTGTCTGTCTACTTATCTACCAGCCCACCCACCCATTCATTTGCTTGCTCATCCATCCATCCATCCATCCATCCATCCATCCATCCATCCATCCATCTCTATCTATCTATCTATCTATCTATCTATCTATCTATCTATCTATCT